TTTTTGATTTATTGTAGAGATGAGGTCTTGCCAAGTTGCCCAGGCAGGTCTTGAAACCCGCAGGCTCAGGCAATCCACTCACCTCAGCCTCCCAAAGTGCGGGATTACAGGCTGAGCCACGGAGCCCAGCCTAACTTGTTTCTTTTTAAGGTTGGGTTCTTTCTAATTTTCCTTCTTTTTTTTTCAACTTGTTATATTGTAACTCATTGACTGAAATAACCAAGTATGTCTCCTGCCTTTCCTATATTAACTCTACCACTAGGTAACAAAATAATAGATGAGGGATGTGTCTCTTGCTAATAATTTTTAAAATTATAGAAATAGAATTTCATCATTTGCAATCCCCAAGAATTTTTTTTTTTTTTTTTGAGTCAGAGTCTCATTCTGTCACCCAAGCTGGAGTGCAATGGCACACTCACAACCACTGCAGCCTCAACCTGCTGAGCTCAGGTGGTCCTTCCACCGCAGCCTTCCAAGTAGCTGGAACTATAGGCAAGTGCCACTATGCACAGCTAATTTTTTGATTTATTGTAGGGACAAGGTGTGCCAAGTTGCCCAGGCTGGTCTCAAACCTCTGGGCTCAGACAATCCTCTTGCTTCCGCCTCCCAAAGTACAGAAATGACAGGTGTGAGCCACCATACCCAGCAATCCCCAGGAATTCATAGATCTAGGCACTGAGTCTCTATAACATCACTAAAAGAGAAACCACCAAACGTTACCAACATACCCTCTGATGAAACAGCACGCCACCACCTATAGACTCACCAAGGGATCTCACCTAACCAAGCCAATTGCCAATTTGAAGAATGTTCAGAGGATGGAGTGTGCAGTTTCTAAAATCCAACCTAGTGGAAACACTGCAGGTCAAATAGCCTGAGCTTAACAATCGGCAAAGTGTAAAGATAAGAAAGGGAGAGGGTGGGACCTTATAGGCTAGAAGAGACTTGAAGTGACATGTCCAGTCTTGAAACGGGAAAGACAAAATTCTAGTGTCTAGGGCTGTACACCTAGAAATAAAGCCATAAGGAAATACAAAAAAGTTTTAAACTCATCAATTTGGATGCCCTTTAGTACTTCTGCCACTTTTTGTTTTCCCTCTTCCATATCAGCAAAATGTTTCCCTTTGAGGTCTTTTTCTTTTTCTTTTTGAGTTGGAGTCTTACTCTGTCGCCCAGACTGGAGTGCAGTGGCCGCTCCCGGCCACCGCAGCCTCGACCTGCTGGGCTCCGGCGATCCTTCCGCCTCAGCCTTCCGAGTAGCCGGAATTACAGGCACGCGCTACCACGCCCGGCTAATTTTTTTATTTATTGTAGAGATGAGGTCTCGCCTGCCCAGGCGGGTCTCGAACCCGCGGGCTCAGGCAGTCCACTCACCTCAGCCGAGGCCTTTTTCATTGGGAAAAAAAAGTCACTCAGGGTGAGATCGGGTGAATTGGAGGTGAGGGTCATGCCATTTTTGGCCAAAAACTGTTGAACACTCAGTGTGGTGTGGGCAGATTCGTTGTCATGGTGGAAGAGCCAGTCACCTGTTTGCCACAACTCCAGATGTTTTTACTGTAAATTGTGATGCAATCTTCTCAAAACTTCCAGATACAAACCTTGGTTGACTGTTGGATTTGGAGGAACAAATTCCAAGTGTACTACAAGGGACCTACCCTCCAAAAGAGAATTCTGATTCTGCTGTTTTTTGTTTCACTTCTTCCACATAAGCAAAACGTTTCCCTTTGAGGACTTTTTCATCTGGGGACACAAAAAAATGTTGCTAGGGCAAGATTGGATGGATAGGGAAGGCGGGGCACAGGCATCATGATGTTTTTTGGTCAAAAACTGCTGAACACTCAGCACAGTGTGGGCAGGTGCGTACATTTCATCAGGAAATGTACAAATGCACTGAAAGAATCTCCCCCCAAAAATTCACTGAAGCCTAACTCAACCTCTCACAACAACGCTAGCCAGTATACTGATGCTGATGGGTTCCTAGAACACTTACCTAGTGGGGAAAGCCTGTACTACAAGGGGCCCACCCTCCAAAATATAATTCCAGTTATTTGGGTCTTCCTTCATATTTGTATGTATTCTGACACCTTTGGATGATCTTGCTTGTGGGATCCATGCAGTCCTGTGTGCCCAGCAGTATTAAGCATTTTGCACACATGACTTCATTCAGTTCTCCTATCACCCCATGAGGTTCTGTGAGTGTCTTCTGGGCAAGGGGACTCGTGGCAATCCGTAGGATATTTTCCGCGTAATCTAACCACCCTTCTGTCTGGGTGCTAGAGGTATGGTTTGCCATGGATTGGATTGTGGCAGAATGGCTAGTGATGACATTTCAGTAGTGCCTGGCTGGCATGGAGTTACCACTCCACCACACGTCCCACATGTGAAGTGCAGGCACGACTTCAAATGTTGCATGTGGCCTCCTCCCTGGCCTTGATGCTGCAGAATAGGCATAAGAATCCACACAGAGGTCTCATATTTTACTCCTGTTCCCTCCAGCATGTCAGTGTTTTTCTTTTCCTCCATCTGCTTGCTAGTGCCTTGTCCTGCAGTGGGCCCAGAAACAAAGGCCATCTGGGTTTCAGTTTTGAGCCAACTTCTTGGCAAAAGGGTGGGCATCTCAGTTCTGAAAAGGGCCTCTTATGCAGAGATGGTCTTCGTCATCCTCACCACCAGGGTCCCAGGCTGTGGGGTAACTGTCAGGATATAGACTCTTTTCCCCCATATCTGGCTTCTTTCTGCCCCTCCCCCAGGGAGCAGCCCCTGGTCACAGCTGGTATCTGCAGGATATGTGTGTTCCCTGGAACAAGTCAGGGGTACAGTTCATTGAGCAGAGTGAGCATAATGCAGACAGCACCCTGACTCGATGTCGTTGTGAACACTGTATAGCAATGTGAATAATTAACTTACTTGACTATAAAATTGCTTGCTGTATTGTCCCGAGGCGTGGATTCTTTCTTCACCACTCGGCTGCCACCGATGCCTCCCATAAGTTCTAATAAACCAATGTCTTTGCCTGCTGGACCTCCAGGTGTCTTCTTGGGAAAGGATAAAGACCCTTACATGCAAGCCCTCTTAGATCTGGGGTTGCCACGTCCACGGGTGTTGACAGTCTTGTCCTCCTTTTTGCAGACTGTCTCCATCCTAGAGCAGCGATTGACCTTGACAGAGGATAAGCTGAAAGACTGCCTTGAAAACCAGCAGAAGCTGTTCAGCGTCGTCCAGCAGAAAAGTTGAATACAAGGACCAGAAGAGGCACAATCCACGAGCGCGTGCACATACTCGGGAAGGTGGCGCAAGGACTCCCTGCACACGACTGTTCCTGATTATCATGGCATTCCTGAAAAGCTGAGCGGCAGAAGAGGCCAACTAACCACTGACTGAGACACACAGTTCACTATGGAGGACCAACTGAGAGCGCTACTATTTATGATTGCAGTAATAAAATGAAGAGCATTCAAGTGACTCTACATTCTTCCCGTATTATCTCAAATGTCAGTTTTCACATCTAGGCCAAATCCTGCCAGGAAACCTACTAAATCTCTGGATTTCACTGTTATGTCATTTCAGATCCACTGTGTTCCTTAGAGCAATTAATGTATTTCTTTAGTGAACACACCCTTAGGGTGAAATAATTCACTTTTGTCTAAAATAGCATCCTCTCTGTGGAGAATGAGTTATTGATCTGACTTGTTATATTTCTTCCTATTAAAAAAAAAAAATCCTTTCTTGAATCCTTGAAAAGATGGTCTGCTAAAAATGCCCAGACCACAGATTTCCACAGTAAGATTACCCGTATTTAGCAGCAGCACCACGTGCCACAGGGCAGTGGGTTCTTGCTTACTTGCTGGCATTCCTTGGTTATCCTCAGGCCACCTGAAGGAAAATGAAGAATTAGAAGCACATGAAACACATCGAGCTTTTCTGTCACAGGTGAATGTACTAAGCAATTTGTATTGTATCTGATCACAATTCACAAAAATTTTAGTGTGATTTCAGGATGCTAGAAAGCCAAAAGGATGCAACGGTGATATTTAAACACACACACACACGCACATGCTGCAGAAACACTGCTGCTTACGGTGCTTTGGGCAACTAAATAATAAGTACTTTAAAAAAAAAATGCATCATCGTCTTCCGATTTTTTAATGAACTATGATTTAAAACAAAATGAAAATAAGCCAGGCAGGATCCTGGTTACAAATTAAGAATTTTGTTTTACCTTAATGAAAATAGAGGTGAGGGTGAAGAAGAGCAGGCTAGTGTAATTCAACTTGCTTATCTGTTAACCTGTATCAAGAGCAGCGGTGGGAGAAGGCAGACCACAACTGCGGCATGTAGGTGACACGTAGGGGGTGCTGGGCTGGGTTTGGAAAAGAAGACACGGCAAGGTCCTAGTCCTGCAGGAGTCTATATTTAGAAATTGTCCCTAAAGCCATTCCAATTGTATCTTTGAGGTGGGTCTTTAAAATCGTCTCTTGATGTCAAAAGTGCCTTTTTGTGTCCTAAGTGTGACTGACCTTCAGACGTTTCCAAGAGCTTACAAAGACTAGTGGCATTGTATGTGTATGACCTCATGAGAAGATTAAGTAGAAAATGAAATGTCATTATCAATTTTTGCTTACTCTTTTTTATGCTTCAAACAATAAAGGCATTTTTTGCTTTAAAAGGAAAAGTTGTTCCTCTTCTTTTTTTTTATAATCGATATTTTTTATTATGATATTGTGGGGTACAGTTAAGGGTTAGGTATACAAATACGTTTCGTTCAGGCACCTTTGTTGATAAGAGGTGTTTCCCCGTCCCCAGACAGATATTTACTATCGTTAATCCCATCTCCCTCCTCCCCCATAGTTTCCCGCTACTGTCAGTCATTTTCGTATAGTATTACCTTGGATGTTCAAGGTCCACTATTTGAGTGAGAACATGTGATACTCGGATCTTTGTTTCTGTGAGAGGTCACTCAGTATTATAGACTCTAGTTCCATCCAGGTTGCCGCGAAATTCATGATTTTGTTCTTTTTTATGGCTGCGTAGTATTCCATCATGTATTAAAAGGAGCAAAATCCGGAGATGCTAAACGTCTTATCATCCAGCTCGCTCATCTTTAAGGAGCAAGAGAGTCTAGCCTGGAGTGCTACGGAAGTCTTCCTGGGTCAGATGGAGTAGTGGCTGTGCCGGGTGGAGCAGATGGTGGCCATCTCTGAGGAGCTCCGTGTTCAATGCTCCTGACCCAAGGCCCACAAGGTCGGAACCTCTGGCCTGGCTTCAGCCTTTCTTAAGACCTGAGATTGCCACATGCCTCTCACAGTCAGTCATCACAGAACTTTATAGGTGATGTACAAACGGTGATGCTGTACATGAAAATGTCTGGCACTTTTTCAAGAGGGTGGTTCTCTGATTCCCAACTTATGTATTTATTTATGCATTTATGTATGCATAAATTTATAAAATTTATAATTTTATGCATAAATTTATAAATTTATTCACAAAATTATATTTATTTATGTATTTATTTATGCATTTCAGGAATCTCCTTAGTCTTTCTCAGTTCCTGCTCACTCTCTTACCCCTCTTGAATACCCAACTGCCAGATCAGCTCCTCTACTTGGAAAGCCAATAGACATCACTAAATTTAGTTTTTTCCTTTTTATTTATGTATTTATTTTTGAGTAGAAGTTTCACCTGTCACCCAGGCGGGAATGCAGTGGCACGCTCATGGCCAATGCAGCCTTGACCTGCTGGGCTCAGGTGATCCTTCCAGTTCAGCCTTCCAAGTAGCTGGAACCACAGGCCTGCACCTCCATGCCTCACTGATTTTTTATGTATTATAGAGACAAGGTCTCACCAAGTTGTCCAGGCTAGTCTCAAACCCATGGGCTCAGGCAATCCTCTCGCCCCGGCCTCTCAAAATGCTGGAACTACAGGTGCATGCCACTATGCCTGACTAATTTTTCTTGATTTTATTGTAAAAACAAGGTCTCACCAAGTCACCCAGGCTGGTTTCAAACCCCTGGACTCAAGCAATCCCCTCCCCTCCACCTCCCAAGGCACTGGGATTGCAGGTATGAGCCACCATGCCCAGCATATTTTTTTCTTTTTTTAAAAAGAGGTCCAAACAAAGCTAAGGCATCTCTAAACTTGTCCAAACTCTAATTCGCTACCCCTCCCTCCCCTCAGCCTACCCCAACCACTGCCACTGGCAGTTCCCCCATAGTCTTCTCAATGAAATAGCACCTTTCCTTCCAGTTGCCCGAGCTGAAGACTCAGAGTCATCCTTGACTCCTCTCTCATCCCGCAGTTCGCTCCTTCTGCAGATCTTCTCAGAAGGTACAAGACACCTGCCCATGCCTCGCCACCCCCACCTCCCACTGTGACCCACGCCACCATCGCTTCCTGCCTGGACAGCTGCAGTTGTCTGCTGTCTTTGCCTGCTTGCGTTGCTCTGAGGGAACACCCAAGACTGGGTAGGGGACAAAGACAAGAGGTTTATGTGGCTCACGGTTCTGCGGGCTCCTCAGGAAGTGGGGTGCTGCTCTGGGGCGGTGGGTCAGGTGGGAGGGAAAGGGAGCCGTGTCAAATGGCAAGAAGGGAGCGAGGAATGTGGGCAAGGAGGCGCCAAGCCTCACTCTTCACTTCCGGGAGGGCACCATGCCCTTGGTGAGTAACCCTCCCCCACCTGACCCACCGCCTCCCACCAGGACCCACCTCCTACATGGGGGATCATTTCAACATGAGACTTGGTGGAGCCAAACAAGCCCTATCCAAACCCTGGCACCTCCTGATGGGTCTCTCTTGTCACCCCTGCATGACAGCTACGGTGCTTCTTGGAAAGTCAAGTCAAAGCACGTGGCTCTTCAGCCCAGAACCCTTCAGGGCTTCCATCTCACTCAGAGTAAAAGCCCAAGACTTGAGATACAGGATCTGCCCTTGCACCCTCCCCTCTCTGAACTCTTCCTCCTCCCTGTGAGTCACCCTCACCCATTGCCTCTGGCCATCGTGGCCTCCTGGCCTTCCTTTGAAAAAGCAGCCTGCCCCCCTCTGAGGGCACTAGTCTTTGCTGTTTCCCTGCCCAGCACTCTCTGCCCTCTGGCATCGACGCCTCACAACTCCAGCTTGTGCTACCTGACTGCCCATGTGACACAGGGACCCTCCTTACTCCCTGTCCCCTGACCAGTCTTGTTTTCTCCAATACGCTCATCGCCATCTGACATCTACATGGGTTCACGTGTGTATCTCCTCCTGGGAAGGAACTCTGCCGGTCAGTCAGTCACTGATGCATCTTGGCACCGAGACCAGGGCCCGGTGTGTTGTAGGGACACAGCCTATATCACATGGAGGTGTTGCCAGGCAGGGTGCGGCATCCTGCTCCGTGGGTTCTTTTGACTCACCACAGAAAATAATTTCAGGGCAAATTCAAGTAGCTTAAGACAGAATTTATTAGAGAGAAAGGGGCTTATCGGCATAACCATTGGGCATGGATATCTTAAGACAAAGAACATGCATTTGCCTTTGACGAGATGCTTGATACAGTTTTACAACGATTATTATGCTAACCATGAACTAACAGGGTGGGCAAAGTGGTCAGGTCTGGCAAACAGGTGAAGATCATGTACCGGTAAGAAAGACACCTGAACACATACTCTAATTTAAACTGCCTATAAGAAACTTCCCAGTTTGTGTCTAACCTACACTGAATTACCTGCCTCAGCTAGATGGCAACAATGACTAGGAAGCAGATGTGTCCTCCTCTACCCCAGAGGTGTCTCAACTGTGATGAATTCCTGAGCAGGTGCCTCAGCTGCCCAGCTCAAGAAACTAAATCTCAGGAGAGTGGCTGGGCAGGCGTGAGTCCTCAGGAGAGCTGGGACCGGGGAAATGCCAAAGGAGGCTTCTGCAATCACATCATTTGACACTGTCCCCTCCTCGACAGTGATGTGGTTAACCAGACAAAACAGAACTCATGTCACAGAGTTCTCAATCCCTGTCTTCCTAGACAGGGTGTTTTGCTTGCACATAAATATTTCTCTTGGACTTCCTCAAGTTGTTAGAGTAAATGTAAAAAGGTTTCGAGGTTTTTTTTGTTTTTTGTTTTGAGTTGGAGTCTCACTCTGTCACCCAGACTGGAGTGCAGCGGCCGCTCCTGGCCACCGCAGCCTCGACCCGCTGGGCTCCGGCGATCCTTCCGCCTCAGCCTTCTGAGTAGCTGGAACTACAGGCGCACGCTACCACGCCCGGCTAATTTTTGATTTATTGTAGAGATGAGATCTCGCCAAGTTGCCCGGGTGGGTCTCGAACCCGCGGGCTCAGGCAATCCACTCACCTCAGCCTCCCAAAGGCGAGGAATTACAGGCTGAGCCACCGAGCCTGGCTAGGTTTCGAGGTTTTAAAAAAAAAAAAAACTTGCATTAGCCTGATGTGCCTGTTAAACAGAGACCTTTGACAAGACACTTGATACACTTTTACAATGATTATTATGCGAACCATGAACTAAGAGGGTAGGCTGTGGGTATTTCCACATTCCAGCCCACAAGGTGTCCAGGTCTGGCAAATGGGAGAAGGTCACGTACACAGTAAAATGTGTTAAGTTTATCTGAGGAGACAGTGACTAAAGTCAGGCAGTGCCAAGCCGTGAGCAGATGGGGCTCCACCAACTGCATGAGGGCAGGACTTTTATAGGGTGCTTGAGGAAGCAAGACAGAAGACACTTAATTGGGTAAAGCAGAACAGCAGCCTTGGAGTTTCTAGAACATTGCTCTTTGCTTCACATAAAGCCAAAAGCAGTTAAAACTAGGGTGAGTGGACCGGAAGAAATAGCAAAGGTAAAACGTAGATGGCCAGGATTTGGGGCTGGTGAGTATTGCTAGGACCTGCTATTTGTTTCAGAGTACAGGAATTACAGTCTTTGGAGCCAGAAAGACGCCATTCTCCAGCAGTGTGACCTCTAGGGAAGGTACTCACAAGTTTAGTTTCCTTAAATATAAAAGGAAAAAATAATAATGTGAGTTATGTTTATGACATGATTAGCACAGTAGACGTCACAGAGTAAGTGAACAATAAATGGTAGCTCGGCCAGGCCCAGTGGCTCAGACTTGTAATCCCAGCACTTTGGGATGCCGAGACCTTGAGACCAGGGTTCAGGACTAGCCTGGACAATATAGCAAGACTCCCATCTCTACAAAAATAAAAATAAAAAGTTGGACATGGTGGCATGCAGCTGTAATCCCAACTACTCAGGAGGCTGAGGCTTGAGGATCACAAGCTCAGGAATTCAAGGTTGCCGTGAGCTATGATCACACCACTGTACTTCAGCCTGGGAGACAGAGAGACACCCTATCAAAAAGAAGAAAAACGAAAAACAAAAAGGTAGCTATTACTGGTATTTATTCATTTTGTTTCTCTGGACTGCATTGTCAAATAACATAATTTCAACTGTAACGTTGAAGAGATACAGGGACTAATACTAAACGATAGCGAATGAAAGCGTGATATTTAATTCAAAGTTAATGTTGCATTTTAAAAAATTCATCAGAAAGAATAAGTATACAAAGGAAATTAGCCTTCCATATGCGGAAACCTCAAGGTTCTGGCTAAATGCTGGGCATTGAGCAATGCCCAAGGAATACAAGTGAAGAATACTGATGTTATAATTATCCTAAATGAAAGCAGGGCAAAACC